ATGTGTGATTATGATTATTGATATTGATTTGATCGGATTTATCGATATGAATCTTATCGTACGGATTCATGATTCATTGATTTGAATCATTGACATTGATACTACTTGACTTATTATTCATTGATATTGATAAATAGGACATGGCACGGTCATATATTATAAACTTAATATGATTACTACTTGATCCATGCATTGATTTTGATTGCTACACATTGATTTATCGTATTGTCCATTCTGATTGATTGATCGACTTTGATAGTATATAGATGGAACGGATTTATTGATTGATCTGATTTGCAGGATTTATTGATTTTATTGATTTACGTATTGCAATTTCCGATTGGATATTATCGTATTGCTTTTCCGATATTGATTTCGATTGAATTTGAATAGTCGTAGGATACCGAGATTCGAATTGATATGGATTCTGCGTATGATTCATAGATGATTGACACTGAATATATAGATTGTATCGATTGATAGAGACGATTAGACATTGATATATAATCATATTATTGACATATGTGAATTTATTATTGATACGACAGGATCCTGATAGGTCTTATTGATTTACGTAATCGTCGAATAGATTTCTTTAGGGAGCTGATTGTATTGATTTCAATTGACCTGATGATTTCATTGTATAGAGGTTGATTTATTGAGTTGATTCGATTGTTCGATGGATTTTCTTGCTGATAGATAATTGACTGGAAGAATTAATGGATAAGATTGCACGATAGATTGATCTGCAAGTAGATGATCTGATATGATTCCTTTATATTGATGTGATTGATGTTATGGATGGATACGCTAAGTTAGACGACTAGATGACCGTATTGATGTTATCGATAGCAATAGATAGAGACTGTAGAGCTTTGATTGAGGCATTGATTTTGAGCTTTATGGATTTCTTTATTGATTGAATAGATGATATAGATTTATATTGATTGAATAGATGATATAGATTCGATGAATTGATTAGACGACACGGTTGATTGACCTGATAGTATAGATAGTATAGATTGATAGACACTACTACGTTGATTGGACATTGACTAGGAGCACTTATTGATTTGATTGCTGAGACGTATTGATTTATCGATGTTTTTACTGCTGATTTGATTTCCGCTGTATAGACTTGATTTCATTGACGATGGATTTCTGCCTTGCATAGACTCATTGACCATTGATTGACTTGATTTTATATTGACCTGCATATTGATAGCATCGCCGTGCTTTGATTTCAGTTGTAGGCTTTGGTGACCTGCTGGGCTTTGTAAGCTCATTATATGTGGTTTAAATTTTCAGGTCCGAGCAAGGCAACTGGAATGGAGTTCGATCAGAATGTCAGACGAATCCTTTCACTATTTGATTCTGGGGCATCACACTATCTTCATGGATCCTATTCTCCAAGACACAATTAATATCCAAACTGCATTGACGGACTAATTCATTGCAAGACCAAACCTTTTTCTGGCTATTGAAACCTCTCACATTCCAAGCAACAATATGAGGAAAGGCCATTAGATTTTTTGGTGGATGGGTAGGAGGCTTTTTTGCTTGCTTTCCCTTAGAAGCTTTTGGTTGAGAAGGTTGGGGATTCAAAATAATCGATTTTTATTGAGCAGAAGTTGTAGAGGATTGTTGGAAGACATTGAGATTTTCTTGCAGAAGGTCAAATTTGTTTGGTAAAAGGAAAATATCATGTGTTTTTAGTGAAGTAGGATTGCTAGTGGAAGGGGTGTCTTTCGTGGGAGGATTTAGGTTTGGAAGAGAGGTAATGGTGTTGTTTGGGGGGTTGGAAGAAGTGGGAAAAAATAATAGTAGGTGGCTAAAGGTTTGGTGCATAATTAGGAATGAAATATGGGATGAAGAGGGATGAGGGTTGGAGGGGCCAGTGTGGTTTGTTGTAAGAGAAGGACTATGTGAGTTTGGGAAGAAATTGCTGACTTGTTTTGAAGCCTAGGCTGTTGAGAATGATGCGAAATAGAGCGGGTGAAGGGGCGATGTGGTTTCATGTTGATGCTTCTCCCATGGGTAGGAGGATGAGAATTAGTTGGTGGGGGATGAGGTTTGGAGGGGCAGAGATCAGTTGAATGCATAATTGAGCCACATAAATCAGAGATAGTGGGCTTCAATTCATACTGTATTTTAAGCTCAAAGGGTCCAAGGATGGTGATGGGTTTTTTTTTTTCAGGATAAGAGCAATCCTTGGTGAATTGAACGCAGACTCTCGCATAGGTTAATCTGATTTTTTTTTCAGTAGTCAAATTATCCACATACAAGGGAATACCAATCTTGCATTTGATACGAGAAATCCCTTCCGGCGTCCAGCATGTCAATGGGAGGTCGATTATTTTAAACCAAATGGGGATGGTGGTGAACTCCTCTCTTTTAGGTTTAAAGTTAGGAACCCATTTTTGAAGTACAAACATTTTCCTGAGGAAAAATCAAACACCCCCAGAAAGCGCCATATCATAGTCTTCAGGGAAAGTAAATTTCAACATAAAGAAACCATCACTAAGGGAAAGCATTTGCATCATACCTTTCAGCTTCCAAGACTTACGGATAGCCAAGAGCAGGGATTCATAATACGATCGCCTTCCAATGGAATAGCCAACAAGAGACAATCCCCATTTTTCCATTGCGACTTTTGCATGTACTTCGGTAGAGTCGAGGGGATCATCCCGAGAGGGAGGTGAGGAAAGGGAGGAGGCGGACCCTTGTTTTCTAGGGGCAGAAACAATATTAAACTAGTTAAGCTATGGGGTGAAGGAGATGGGGCAATTTTGTTGGAGAGAGGGGGGAAATTAGCTGAAGAGGAGAGGTTGGCCATGGCAGAGGGGAAGCCCTCCGGCAGGGCCAATGAAGGGTAGGGAGCGACGATCAGAAATCGGGCGGCTAGGGCAACCAAAACCCTAGCAGAGACCGCAAACGGCTCCTCTTGTTTTTCATTTTTACATTTTATTAAGACTCTTCTAAAGATGTTATTTTATTTAACCCTTCACTTTTTTTTTCAACTTTTTGCATTTTTTTTAATTACAATAGTAGAGTCTTACTTTGGGGAGGAAGGGACCGGCATAGTATAGAAGAAATGAGACAAAGGGGCAACTACTGGCTACACATATAACAGAGAAAGAGAAGGTATAATTAATATTTTTTTTTTTTTACATTATAACCATACTTCTTTTAAATGTAATTATGAAACCTTTCTGATTTAGCGTCACCCTTACTATATCTTTTGGTGTGTGGAATTACAGATCTAACTTTGCCCTCCACTTCCACTATCAAAAATAAAAATAACTTGCCGTCACCCGATCAACCGAGTACGGCCACTTTGGCTGCAATTATGTCCGCCTGATAATTAAATGCACTCATCAGTAATTTTCTTTCTACATTTCTCACCAATCGCAGCCGTAGAAGTAGCTTCTCCCATAGATTGACGGACTAGATTGCCCACTGGGTATACACAAAAGGAAAAGGTGCCCCGTCGGAGATTAAGCTTTCAAACTGAATTTATTTCTTGACTCTTACTCTGCGAACTACATATTGCTTGTTGCTTCGACTGTAAGTCTACGGCCGGCGATAGCCTTGCCCCGACTGCCGAGTGTCGCCCTGAGAACTTTACGGCGGCGATCAGACTGGCACTCTCTGTTCCTGGGGTTCAGCACTGCCCTGCTGTCTAGCAGAGGCTTAATCGTTGACGAGTACAGTGGGAGCGTCGAGCAAGTTTTGGCCTCTTTTCCCGGAGAAGGTATGATCTCCCTTCTTTCACTTTTCCTCTTGCGCTTGCCATTGTTTTTTATTTTTTTTCCTAATGAGGTTTTAATTTTATACTAATCTGATCCGGCATGCTGTATGTCTCGATTGATTGGTTTCTTGCCCTACTGATCTGTATTTCCTCTCCCAATGTCTGGTCGATTTGTTTTGTTATTCAGTTTGGATGTACATGAGTGTTCCTGTGTTTGTGCGGGTCTGTCCTCTTCTTTCTTATCTATATATAATTTACTTACTTATTTATTTTTGAAGAGATTCGAGCATGCGACCTCCACACTTTACCCTTTGGAGGGCAAATGCAGCAACGCTCAGTCTAGTACAGTATTAGTCGATTACTTTCTTCCATTCATTTTTGTGAATAGAACGTCCGGCTCGCTGTGTTAAGGACCAATTTGATTATGACGGTCATGATTCTCTGAAATGGTTTTAGGAAGGGAAATGAAGAATTCTCTTGTATACTTTGTAGAAGAAAATTTTATGGCTGTCATTTTGATCATCGGTCTATGCTCTACCAGATAGTAGGGTCATAGCATAACACCATAAAAAATATTACTTTTAAATGTTATAATGCTTTTTTCCTCAAACTATCTGTCATCATTTGTTCTTCCATGTGATGCCACCACCACCAATGTTACTACCCGATCTCTTTTTCATGTTTTCTTACCTTCTTCTTGCAAGGAAATCTGTGTTTTTTTTTGCCCACCTAAATTCTAATGCTCCATTTTGATTCTTGATTATCTACGGATGTCTCTGAAAGAACATCGATGATGATTTCCTTGTAGCGGAAGATTTATTACCTAAGATAGTATACTTATTTATCATATATGCATAAAAGTTAATTGTTGAAGTTAAAAAGAAACGCTATATATTCTTTATTCACATCAGCTGAATACTTATAACTATCATAATTAATATCCAGTTTCCTGTGAATATCATAATGCATGCCTATAATTTATCAAATGTATTGTGTTTTATATCTCAATTTTCTTTTTTAAGGTATTTATTATTAAAAAATATATTAAAATATGGGCATCACTTAGCTCTCATTATGAGGTTCATTTTTAAAATTTTATGTCACTAGACATATTGGAAAAAAATAAAGTCAATATCACTTTGATTATTCATTATAGGAACAATTTCAACATATAATTCATCTTAAGTTACTGCCCATGTGATTTATCAACTACAATATACTTGATTGGTATAATTTCACATCGAAGCATAAGTTTAGGCTCCGTTTGAGATGGCTTTCTTACTGTTTCTTGAAGTAGCTTTTTAGTACAAACTTTTAGAAAGTTGCTTTAAGAAGCCGTGAGAATGCTGTCTCAAACGAAGCCTTAATGTCCACTCAAATCTTAGGCCCAAATATATTATCATGCTTAATTTTGCTTTCAATAATTCTGACTCTAGATCACGTTTAAATTTGGGTTCATGAACATGGTATAATGTATGTAGATTCAAATTTAAAATCATTAGATGTTGATTCATTGTACTTGCAAATTATATCTTGTGCCCATCAGATCCTCAAAAGATTATTTGTGAACTATAATTTCTACAATTAAATTAGATTCAACCATGCATGATTCTTGTATTGGTGTAGGGTTCAAAGGATACATCATTGACTTTTCTTTAGGAATATGATCACATGTATGATAGCCCTGATAGAATACTTATAGTTTTACTCAATATTAAAGGACCTAGATAAAGCCTTCAATTGTTTTTTTTTAAATGAATTTTATTCTGCCTACGACTTATAGTGAAAGAAATTGTGATTACAAAATAGTTTGTATGTAAATCATACACAGCTACAAGACTTCTACTTCTTGTATGGTATTTAAACATGCTAGAATAATTTTGTTTGCAATCTTAAATTGATTATACTTTTTATGTACTAGAAACTTTGCGACAATTAGAGTGTGTTTAATATTTTTCTTTTGGATAAAAATCCAAAACGCACATAAAAATTGGTAAAAGGGCAATTTTTTTGTGGAAAACCAAAAAATGAAAAAAATCACGGGATCTTGCCCAGTTGCAATAATACATATAATAGTAGATATCAAAAATTTCCTTCCTCATAGTTGAAAAAGATGGGATTATTTATAATTAAAAATCATTGTATGATTCCCGTTGTAGGGATTTCAAAAATTGAATGTCTAAAAATAGGCCGTTAAAATCAAACAACGAAGTTAGATATTAATAGTCAAGTGATAATAGTCGGAAGAGAATTTTGATGATAGTGGTGATGATTATTGATGGTGGTCATGACGGTGATCACTAGAAAATAAAATAGAGTTTTTAGATCTTTTAGCTCTTGAATCTCCCCTCCATAGAGAATGATGAATTATTGTAAGGCTTTTTATAAGGGGTATTTTGATAAATTTGGTCATAATCCAATATATTCTATCGTATGGTTTATATTGATCCCCTTAATCATAGATCATTTATCAAATATTTTAATGTCTTAATGACGTAAGAATTGAATGAACTTGGGCTTGTTAGATACATCTCGCCTGTCCCTCAATTGATTTCGTGAAGCTTTTAAGTATGTTTTTTTATTGAATTTATTTAGACTTTAGATTTAGTCATTTATGGTGTCATTGGGTTTGTCTTGTTGAGATTGTTAGTTCAACTATAAATTTGCTAAAATAAAAGTTTTGATGGTCATGAATTCAACTCAGAAAGTTTCTAGTTCTAATATTTCCTCAAGGTTCATGCCACAAGCAAATTTTTTGGAGTGTTATCAATTCTACTCATCCATATATTCATCAAATGATAGATTTCTTTTTAAGTACATGTTTCATGTCTGTCCATGTTGATTTTATCTCTTGCATGACTTTGTCAAAATAATTGAACATATCTTACTAATTTTGTTTCAACAATTACAGATTCTTGGAATCATATAAATGATAATAATCAAAGTAGTCTTAAATATTATCTTTTTCAATGTGAACGTTTTTTGAGATAATACCTCCCATCAAATGTAAGATTGTATTTTTGAACCTCAAATTAGTTTTGTTCCTATGATCATTCGTTTTCTTAAATTACATAATTTTTTAATTGACCTTGTTAAATATCCTACTTTTAGTTGACAAGACTGTGTAGTCACACGGCATTTGAGGGTATAGGGTTTCCTAATGCAGCTAGAATTCATATGAGACATGTGGATACACAAGGGAACTTATGATTTGTAAATCACAAACCACTAAATATGTCAACAGCGCACTTTATGCAAAATAGTATATATTAGTATTATTAAATGCAACTAATGAATATGATAATAAGAACCTAAAAGATAATGTAATGATCAAATTAATTCAAAGAAATTAAAGGGAGATTGAAGTTATGCAAATTTAGCGAGCAATTGTGAATTGCTAGCCACAATAAGAATTCCCGTTGTATCTAATTTGAACAAAGGAACACAGGCGAACAAAGGAATACATAAGAACTGTTAACATGCAGAACAAATGTCAATGAAGGAATTTACTAAGCAAGAAATTCAAGCCTCATACCAATATGAGATGGATTCTCCCGAATTAGTTAGTGACACTTGAACCGAGCCTACACGAAGGACAAATACACAACGCATAATTAAAGACTGCAAGATTATTTTTTTTTTTTTCAAAAATCTCCAATTACATGCATTGAGATCTCTATTTATAAACTTCTCATCCCTAGATTAGTAGATATTATTCACTCAAAATCAGCCCAATTTAACATCATATGACTGTCAATTTCAATTTTTTTTTTTCATTTGCACCCCGTATCAACTTCATCATGGTGCAGAAGCTGTTGCTATTTAGTTCATCGTACTGTACTGTTTGCTTTCTGTAAAGGTATAGTGGTATCATTGGCCATTGAGTATTTGAAAATTTTTTTATTCTGGAATGAATTTGCCATTTTACTTTAATGAAAAGCCAGCTGAGAGTTCAGTTGAAAAAGTAAGGTCATAAATCGTACTTATTGTAGCTTGTTTTAGTCATATGTGAGGTTTTAAGCATGAAATTGTTAGCAAATGTGCATGATTGTCCTTTATTTTATTATCATTTGCAGGGGTGGATCCTCCTTGAGCTGGGGGGAGGGGGGCAATTGCCCCTCCTATAAAATTAATTTTTTTAAATTATATGATTCTTTAGGTAATTTATCCCCCTTCATTTATTTTTTAGTCTTTATTACAAGGTCTTTTAGGCAATTCCTCTCCCCCCCATAAAAAGTTTTAAAATACTATGATCTTTAGGCAATTGCCCCCAACAAATAGTAAAAAGAATTCATCATTTTATTTATTGATTTGAATTCCAAAAATATCCTTGCAACCAAAATTTGTCGAACCCCGCCAGGGGGCGCTCCCCCCTTGGACCCCCGAATATCAAGTTTTCTTAATATTTAGAGGCCTTGGTTACTTTTGGTAGCTAAAAGATATCTTTAGCGATCATTTTCTTTTTGTCTCTTTTTTTGTCGCTATTGACCCATTTTCTTGTAGTTAAGGGTTGAGCCAAATTCGAGGCGACACCAACAGTTACTTATAAGTTTACCCCCTGAAAATTAAGGTTGATTCAGAATGCAATTCTACTCGCTAACCTTTAGCTAGGTTTCCTAGTTTGCATTGTAACTATAAAATAACGTCTTTTTTTAGGCCTTTGTAAAATTTTGGTTTATGCTACTGATTAAAATATATTGCAGGATGAATTCAAAGAAGGTTGGTGGCAAGTCGTCTTTTGCTACTGCTGGTGGAGTTGGTACCGCCTTTAAGAAATCAAACTTTGAAGCATCTGGCTCTGTTAGTTGCTATCCAAAACATGAACAGCTGAGCAGTGAAATGGGAGATTTGACCATCGATCCTATACAGAACGGTGAATGGGAGGTAATTGGGAAAAAGAAGAATAAAGTTGGTTCTATGGCTGGGAAGCAATGGAGTTCAAATTCTGCTCCTAAAGCATGGGTTCAGCCTGGAACTGGGAGATCTTCTTCTACTGGTGGGGCTAATTCTGGTGATTCTCGACTGGCAGTTGGCAGGTGGAATCCAAAGCAACAATCAGGGACTAGAAATTGTGAAACTGCTAATATGACTCCAAATCCTTCTAACATACCCCCGCCTTTGCAACATGGTTGGAATTGGGGTGCAAGAGGGGGTTCTGCTGTTAATCTTCAAAAGAATGAGAACATCTCCACAAGTTCTGTTGTGGACCCCACAAACAATCAACCTGAGGGTGTTTCAGATGATGATGACTATGATACTCTAGTGGACGGAAGTGATGAGGAGTTTTCCGATGACTATGATTCTGATGCTAGCCAGAGGAGTCATGAGACTCGAAAAAGGAATAAGTGGTTGAAGGGATTCTTTGAAAATCTGGATAAGCTGTCGGTGGATGAGATGGGCGAACAAACCAGACAATGGCACTGCCCAGCATGCCATAATGGTCCTGGTGCTATCGACTGGTATGATGGCCTCCAACCCTTGATGACACATGCAAAGACAAAAAGATCAACAAGACCTAGGCTTCATCGGGAGCTTGCTCTACTTTTGGATGAAGAGCTTCGTAGGAGGGGAACTTCAGTCATTCCAGCTGGTGAAGCATTTGGTAAGTGGAAGGGCCTACGGGAGTCAACAACTGATCGTGAAATTGTGTGGCCTCCCATGGTGATTGTTATGAACACAAAACTTGAGAAAGATGAGAATGATAAGGTAAAGTAATAGAGTGGCTTTGATGTAATTCTATTTTTTAAAAAATGATTTGCCATCTGATATCATTTTTATCATGTAAGTTTCAAGTTAAAATTTATATAACGAACTGCTTTCCTCCAAGTGTTTCTTTCTTTCTGAGGTTTAATAACCGCTACTTCGCAGGCCAATTTTATTCCATAGCGTCCCACCTAAACCCTGGAAGTTTGCTAGATCTTTATTCTTTGTTCTTTAATCCTTTTTTTCCATTCTTCGTGCCATGTCAGAAGGGAAATGGATATTTAACTTCATCCAAGTTAACATTAGCACATTGATTTCTTAATGAATCATACTTTAACTCTTTGATGTTGACAGCTTTTTTTCTTGCCAGATTATTGATGAATTTGTTAGACTGGTCATTAGACCGGCCCGCTTCTATGCGAGGTGGAACTGAGGCCGCCTCCCAATTGTCCCGCTCGAACCGCAGGAGCCAACAGAGCCAATTAGGAAAGATTTAGAAAGATTTTAGGAGGGAAATTTGAAAGTAGGGCTTGTTTAGAGATTTCCTTTTGGATTGTATGCATTAAATAGTTTGTTTTTCCAGAGTTAGGCATCTTGAATTTGGCTGAAATTTGAGATCTCTTAGGGTGTTTGGGCTCTAACTAGTGATTGGAGATTTGAGAGAGTCGGATCTTCCACTTCAATTGAAAATCCACTTGTTTCTTGTCTTTTCTTTCATAAAAAATTCAATAAAAAAGGTGTTTGTGTATTTTATTCATGATTTTCTTGTCATTGGTTTTCTGAAATCAGATTTCAGCCGAGGCTTTTCCTAAATTTCGGCAAGCACTTCCTATCAAAGTGGTACCGGAGCAATTTCTTGGGCTGAAATAGAAGTCTTCCTTGCTAAATTTTTCTACTTTTCGTATCCGATCGTATTGTTTTTGCTTATTGGAGACTAGAATTTGCATTAAATTTGTTGCTCTTTGCTATTGGAGCCTAAATCCAGGTTCCCATGATAGGAAGAAAGGTAGAAGTGTTGGAAGGGAAGATCGGACAATTCAAAATTGAAAATTCAGATTTCTGGACTCAACTTTCAAATGTCAAAAGTTAAATTTCAGCCATCCATGAGAAGATAGGATGAAATTTTTTTTAGTCTGAGGGACATGTTGAAGAAGTTGCTCAAGCGCCAATAAAAAATGACATTCTGAGGCAAGGGAAGCCTCCGACAACTCAGGAAGCGGGGAAAACTTTAATCCAATAAGGCAAAGGGAAGATCAGGAGGTGGAGACTTAAAAGGGAAAGAGAGAATACCTCCCTAGAAGCCTGTTCCCAGGGAGGAGCCGGGCATAGGGTATGGTGAGAAGCGTGAGGCAGTGGAGCATGAACAAAGGGGTGTTAAATTTGAGAGGAGAGGGGCGGAGTTTGAAAGGGAAAAGGGTAATTATGACCGAAGGGGGATTGGAATTGAAAGGAGAGGGATTTATTATGATCCAAGGGGTGTTGAATTTGAAAGGAGAATGTGACAATTTGATTAAAGGTTTGGTATGAGGGTAGAAGGGATGATTGAGACACTTGGGGGGAACTATCCCCTTGGGGAATGAGAAATTATGGACGGAACAGAGGGAAAGGAGGCAATCCGAGGGCAAGGAAATTAAAAATGTCAATATTTGAGGTGGAGGATGTGCACGGGTGAATCTACAAAATAGAAAGATATTTAACCATCAATGGGTTGACGGAGAATGAGAGACTGACAGTAGCGGTCATATGTTTGGAAGGGAAGGCTTTGGCTTGGTACTAGTGGAGGGACATGCGACGACCCATACAGAGTTGGAGGGAGTTCAAGGATTGTTTCGTAGAACGTTTCCGAACTGGCATGGTAGAGACTTTTATGAGCAGTTCTTCACCTTAATACATGATGGTTCAGTGATGGAGTACCGGGAGAGACTCGAGTACCCCATGCTAGTCGATTGGACAGCCTTTTTGAGACAATGCTAGAGGGGAACTTAATGAAGAGACTGACACCAGAGATTTGGGCAGTGGTTAGACTAATGAGATCTCGTGACTTGGGAGAGGCTATGGAGCTAGCTCAATTGGTGGAGGATTAGAGGTACTTGGAGAGAGGGATAGGAGGAAGCAGCTCAGGATGTCCGAACAGGAGCACCACCACCTTTCGACACCTTAGGAGTTGACACCGGGTACTCTTTGGGAGATCCTAAAGGAGAAGACTGAAGGAGGAAAGTCCTAGGAACAACTTTAAGAAGCTCACAGAAACGGAGTTACATGAGAAGAAGATGAGGGGGCTCTGTTTCAGATGCGAGGAGAGGTGTACACCTGGGCACAGATGTAAGGATCAAACTTTTCAGGTACTTATCATTTATAATGACGAGAAAATTGAGGATCGTGTTGTCCTTCCACC